TTCCAAGATTTGACCACATGGCACAAATCAAAGTTACCATAACTTAAAGACTTGAAGACAAAGCAAATAAAAAGAATCCAAAGGGATGGGGCGTGCCACCCCTATGTGGCACATGTGGGCCCCCACCCACACGCCACATGGTGGGCCTATGTGCATTTTTGGCCCTCCATAGAATTTTATAAATAGTTTTAAATTTAAATATGCATTTGAATTTTTACAACTTTGTAAAATCAATAACTGTATTTTGATAAATCCAAAAATCATAAATAAAATATTGAGAGATTCATAAAAAATTCAAATAATAAAACTAAAATCATTTCAATAATAAAATGAACACAATTAAATTAATATGATGGGAAAATGATCCATATGGTTTTAGAAATTTAATCTGTAATTATGGGGTACTCTACCTTCAACTGTGGACTACAGACTACACTAGCTTTATCGAACCGACCCAGTGTTTCTCATGACTCACAGTCCAAGCATAGGTTCATTAGTGGGTCACTAAAGTCAGATCCATTAATCAAGGGGTCGCAATCCCAGTTTGTGGATTATAGGTCCTTCTCTATAGATGAGTCAAGGTCAACTACAGCTCTATGACGCATATGGATATATCTCGCACATGCATACACTTCACTCAAATGTGGATATTTGACTTACCCGAACGATCTATCGATATGCATGCCGTGTGATAGAATATTGGTGAGGTTTTGGCCCTCGTCTCAGTAGGCCTACCATCACACACAAGGGTCACACAGTCCCTCAGCTCACTCTTCTAAGCATAAGCTCCGACCTCATCAAAGACTAATCCAAAACCCTCATCGGTTAATTCTTTATGCCCAGGTACTTTGGGTTTCTTGGGTTTTCTAACTGACTGACCTAGATCAATGAGCACAGTCTGGTATAAGCAAGCAACATTTGCTTAGTATGGTCATCGAGGGACCACACTCCCACTGGGTTTATATTTCACTATAATAAAAGTATTTCAATACACATTCATAAGGCCTTTAAATGCCACATAAACCCAACATAATATGGCACACATAGGTTAACTAAGGACATTTAGATTAAAGTTATCTTTGTCATCTATTTAAATAGCATTAATGCAAATGGTAGTTGCATATGTTTTATATGTGGTTGACACCACATATAAGGGTTTTGCGGTCGCAAAATACTCCATCTTCTAGGCGAAATTTCTCCTTAAATTAAGGAAATGTATAGCTAACAGCCGCACCCCCTTATACCAAATGTCCATCTTTAATATGAATTTAAAAAAAAAGGAAAAAGTTGTTTTTACCAAAAACCAAGATAAACAACATAAAAGATGTCAAAAAGATTGTTGTTTTTAAATTAATATTGAGTCATTCTTTTGAGATTAATGGTCAATTGGGACTTAGGATTATTAACCAAATCCTAGAGATGATACTCTGTCTCTCTCTCTCGGCTGCATTTTTTTTTTGGTTACTTCAAATGTGAATCCTATAATCAACAATTAATGCTGTTTTATGTTTTGGGATTGTACACTATAAAACTATTTATCATTAAGAGATCATAATTACTCTTAAGGACATAAGTACTTTTAACCATTAATGTCAAATTAAATGATTTAAGATATGCGATGAAGTTCAAGAAATTCTTTGAACTTTGTGTGTAGTGAATGAGACCCTTACAACCATTTGTTTCAAAATCTAGCGAGTAAGATTGGTTGTGTCAAGAAAGCCACAAAAAGGTCTAGGAAAATATGTTGTACACGTTGCGTGTCAAATATGTAGTGCACCCGAATCTCTCACCGTATGCCTTGGCAAACAGACGGTGACGATGATAAAAATTCGTAGCAGACAATCTGGGGAGAGAGAAACCCAAGCGAGGGAAGAGACGAGTGCAGAGAGAATGAAGCTGCTCGAAGGCTATAGAGAGAGAGAGGGGGAGGGAGAAGGTGGTTCGTGAGGAGAGAGAGAGAGAGAGAGAGGAGGGCGGGGGGGGGGGAGGGGGGGAGGAGAAGGAGAGTACATGTCAATACGCCGAGTTCTACTGCTGATTAAGCCTTTCACTCGACCAAATCATCCTCACCAGGTACTTGCTATTAGAACTTTTTAACATTCTCTATCATCATTTGACCAATAAACCCACATCATTTTCCTCTTTAATCTTTCCTGTCAATCTCCCATGTTAATTCAGAAAGTCTCTGTAACAAGGTTATTTATCTGGTTATAGTTAGTTTGAAAGCCCATGCTTCTGTATTTGTTTTTCTGTGATCAAATCAAGCTGTTTCTTTTTTCTCTCAATCAGATTGTGGGAAACATTTGTTGGCATTATCTTATTAGGATTCCTTAGGGAGAGGGAAAGAATATGACTGGAAGTATGTGTGCAGTAGTTTTGTGTAAGGGTTTTATAATGTTGTTGCCATAAACTATAATTTTTTTGCTGGAGTTCTGAGAATGACTGTAATTGTAGTGAGTCATCTCATTTTATTAAGGAAAAAGTTTATATAAGGTTGCAACCTTAAAATGATGAATTACAGATGCACCTCAAAAATCTATTAGAAATGTTGTTTTAATGTTAAAACCCCTCTAATTTGATCATCTCGACATCGAGATGTATGAATATGAAAGAAAAAGTTTTTGAGTCCCTGAAAAAGTACATCTTGCAACACATTATCTAGACCGTCCATTTTCAAGATTTTCATGTGCATATAGATCTACTTGATTTTAACCATTTTTTAGTTTAAAATTTCTAACTAGATATGAAAATAGATTTTAAGAAAATCTTAAGATTTTTTTTACCACAAAATTACATGTTTGATAAAATTTGGAGGTGCAACTTAATTGGATTGTTTAAGGTTGCAACCTTATAGAAACCACACCCTTTTATTAAATGGGTCCCCATAAGCTGCTAAGAATTTGATGGGTTAAAGAAAAGTTGACATCTTTTTGTCTTTGGCTGCCTCATTTTTACTGATGGGTGTGATAATACAGAGTATGATGCTTGATATCTTTAGAATGGAGTAGAATAGTAGAATTTTTAAGAATTGTGATGTATATCATTGCATAAAGCGTCTGGAAGCTAGGTTTTCAAACATCGTCGCATTTTTTACTGCTTGAAGCATAGAAATTTTGAGAATTTGAAATTTGGGAGTAGATTGAAATTTTAGGATAGGGTTTTAATTGAATGGCCATTTAGGGAGAGAATTTCCAGAGAGTGGAGGGCTTTCCTGTCCAATTAGATTCTTTATTGTGCTAGAAATTTTACTTATTTTTATATTTTTTGCAAAGTGGTAAGCCAAGGAAATGAAAGGAGACCTCAAGGAATCAACTATTATATCCTGAGACAATAGTGTAAGGAGCATGTTTATGTTAGATGAGAACATACAAGAGCTTATGAGGCACATCAGCTGTTACTTACCAAAAAAATGAAACAATAAAAAATAATAAAGAAAAAAAAATACAATATGTCACACTCTTTCTTTTTTTAATGATAAAAGTGCATAGAACTCATGAATGAGAAGGGTTCAAAGGAAGGAACTTTTCAGTGATGCTGTCAATGACAATATTCTAAAATCGAGATCATCATCTTTTTTTCCTTTTTTTGATACTTGAGCAGTAATGACCGTTGTAGTTCCATTTTTTCTTTGATAGTGTGGTCATGTTTAGCTGGAAGAGATGGTATGCTACCTCCTTTTAGATTTGCATGTCTTAGTGGAGGAAATGGGCAAATGTCCCGGGTCATTTATAGGTTATCTTGGTTTCCAAGGATCATGGACAGCATCGAATCTGATGTGGTGGATCACAAGAGAGTTATGCTCTTATAGTGGACCTGCTTCAGACTTCAGAGTTAGTGATTCCAATGACCACGAAGGCCTTAAAATGTATAGTGATTGTCCATCAGGTTTATAAGTTGCTGTTTTATCATGTAATTGATGACATGATCTGTTTTCCTTCTCCTTTTTTCAAATTGCCAAAATAAAGGCGATGATGGGACTTCTGAGTTCCACTTTGGTTGCTCCACTAATCTAAAGAAGATCCCTTGAAGGCTTGGCTTGAGCTGAATTTATGTCTGACATTAATGTGCCTAGCAATGAAAACAGTGTACGTTCGGTTAAGAAATATGGGTGGAACTAGGATAGGCATTGGGTTATGGGATTATAGGCCTCAGTTTTCTGCTACTTTGGGGTTGTCTCTTGCAACTTTTGAAACCTTATATCAATTATTATCCATCGAAAGTAAACCTCAGTATTGCCGATTTCAAAATTCATTAGAGATTGAAGCAAATGAAGCAATGAGATGCTTCATTGACCCTTGGGATTCATTTCAGACGGGCAGGAGTTTAAGCTTTTATACATGGATTAGAAATTATGTGAATGCCTTCTTGAAATCGATACTTACTGATGGCTATTAAAATGATGAATTAATAGTATTGCGAAGCAGGATTCTAATTTTGTTAAAGATTAGGCTTAGTTGCTGTCAGATTCCATATTTAGTGTAAACTGTCTCCATAGGGAAGATGATTCGGTATATTTAGCGAATTGGTAGTATTAGGAATTGGCTTCCTCTCTGGGTTACTATTTATATTGTACTTCTTCTTAATGACAGAATCCTTATCAAAATGTAGAAAATGGTGGGAATGTCGCCATGTCAAGCTGGAAATCTTACAGAAACAAAGATGGTTCAATGAGATAACAAACTCTTCACAGAAGCACGAAATGGCTGAACATAGAGTACCAACTTCTCACTTTCGTCCACCATTTTCATGTCTTGTTTTACATGTTCTTTTTCTAGTACACCAAAATTTGTCTTCACACTACCCAGGCCTTGGGCAAGAATGCCTTTATGCTACACTGTTGTTATTTGTTACGTCCCTCATTAACTAAACTTTATACATATACTGAGCTCTTAATCATTGCTTGGAAATCATAGTTTATTATAAGCAATTAGGTGGGCTAACTTTGATTTCAAAGACAGGTTTCATATTAAACAATTCTTACACATAGTACAACATTTTTTAACATTGCGTAGCCATTGTTTAGCTATTGTTAGGGCCTATTGTTGTTATGTTGGGGAACTGTTTATTTCTTAAGAACGGTTTTCGTCTTAGTCAATTATTCACCAAAAGGTTTCCTCTTAATCTCGAGTGTTTGAAGCTGTTTGAGAGTATTAGTTTCCATGAGTCATAATGGGCCTCCTGGATGAACTTCCTCATAAATTACGGTACCTGGTTTAAATGTCTTATTTGTAAGGCATTACCACAACGGGATTGTGCTCAAACATGCTAACTTTATAACTGACATTGTTTCATGGTGGTTTTGCAGTTCTTAGGTAACTGGGATGATAGGTGTAGAGTTCACAAAGACACGATAAACCTTTGTAAGGATGTTTTGCAACGGCGATCATTGAAATGGGAATCTATCATGCGTAATAAGCTATGCCAGCCAATCTGTAATTTTGATTTGGTGATTACAGTTGGTGGAGATGGAACTCTTTTGCAAGCTAGTCATTTTATGGACGACAAAATTCCAGTAATGGGAGTTAACTCTGATCCTACTCAAGACATTGAGGTCATTTTCTTGGCGGCTATTGTCTCCACTTTTAATTTTTAAATTTTACTGTCTATTTTTTCTTGGTTCAATTTGTTGAAAATGCATGATCATCAACTTATACATATATTTGACGTGCTGAAGTGGTCTAATAGAAAACCTTATTGAAGATTCCATTATGTTGAATGTTTTCACTTCTTTATGTAGGTGGAGGAAAAGATTGGTGAGTTTGATGCTACAAGAAGCACGGGTTATTTATGTGCTGCAACAGGAAGAAATTTTGAGCAAGTATGTTTGGATCTTACCTTAAAACCTAACATTACTGATTACTTTTATGGCTAGAAGTTGTGAAGTTTGGTTATTAGCAGGCTTGACTTACTGAGCCATAGATTAAATGGCTCGCTTGGCATGGTTCTATTTGCTTTGAGTGTTTGTTTGTATTGCAATTTCCTTTAAATTCTTTTAAAGATTGATTGATCATGCTCTACTGTCATTCTTACTTAGTCAAGTGTGCTTTGGCTTCTTGGTTTAACCATCTCATAGGCAGGCTTCCATTTTTCCTTCCCTATAAAATTTGAAAATAATAGTATTCATTTACAAGATGCAAGGCACGCTTGCTTCCAAGTCCTATCGCTAGCGGTAGAAGCTAGTTGCCAGAAATTTTAAAAGTTATTGAATATTCACATATGCTATATTTAATGATTGATTTGCAATATATTATCATTCAGAACTGATAGTGATATTAGCAATAGAAAGAAAATGGATTTACTAAAAATGCATATCTGATCCTGCCTGTGACAATGTTGTCCTCAACATTTCAAGCTCCGTTCGATAAACATTGATTTTACAGCTACAGTTCATGAAAACCATAATTTCATTAAAACCCTCAGCTATACTTTGTAAAGTTTGTAACAACTGAAAATTGGTCCGCAATTAGTGAGGAAAGGGGGCCAGGTTCTCGTTGTTTTATTTTAGGGTGACTATTTTCCTTATCAACCCTTACACTTTTAACATAAACAGACAAGATTTATCCAACAATGCTTTTCTGTGTTTCTTGGGATCCAGAAATGTTGGCTTTGGCCAAAGACCAGAAGGAAACCCCATACAATCAAGAGGTTTGTTTCACTATGTACTGCTAGCAGATGCCTAGAGTTCTCTTTATTTTTCCCACCTCAGATCCTAATTTACTTGTTTGATGAAAGTCCTTTGACTCAACATGTAATGGTTCAAATCAAAAATAAAAGAAAGGGACCACCCATGTGGGGGTCTGTGATAGGGTCCCAGTGGAGCTTTCTTTTATTTTTATTATTTTTTATTATTTCCCGTAGCTGGGGGCAGTTAAAAACCCCAGAACATTTTCAATTTCAATACTGTGAGTTCTTTTCGTGGAGCCTAATCTGCTTCCCACGCGCTCCCACTTTTGTGATCATTGATCTGCATCTGTTTATGTTGGCTACTTCTATAGGACAGTAATTTGAAAAAGTTGTAATACTTTTTAGATGAATTCTATGCTAGTTTAAGTACGTTATTGGATTTTCTTTTTCTTAGTTTATTTTTTTCCGACAGGGGCCACGCGTACGCGTTCCCCCACTGCCACAACTTACGACATCCACTATCCCACATGGGCAGTTGATTGAGACTCTTCTCCCATGTGCAATGGAGTCAGTTGCCTTAGCTCATGGCCCTTCTTGATCTTGGAAATACCCTTTCAGGTGAGCACCATGGTTAGGAACTCATAAAATCGAGTGCTCCTAGTGAAGGGATGATTCGAAGTGATCAAGGACATGTCCAGAGTGGTTCCCTAAGAAAAGGAAAATGAGAACAGTAATAACATTTTAAAATTTTTCATTTTTTGAAAAATATTTGTTATCATTTCTTTTATTGTTTCTCTAACGTTTATCGTCTGTGCTCTGCTATAAAAACCTTTTTTTTATTTTTTGGATTTTTCCATGAGGAATAAAAATACTATACAAACTTTAAGCAAATATTTAAGCTACTATTTGGAGTGTGTGCGTGCGCACTAGTCATGTGTGTATGCATGCATGCGTGTGTATGCACATGTGTGTGTAATTCTTATTGTTTTGATTTTTATTTTTGGTTTATCAGCTTGCATCCTAGGTTCTCGTCACCCGCTTTACCTCAGGATTGAGTCTTAACCACAACTGCTTATGCCTGACAAGGCCTGCAAAACATTGAATGCATATTTACTATAAAAAATGTGAAAAGAGGAAAGGGCTGCATTTAGGTGCCTTGTATGTTAAATATTAATCAGAGTCCAAGACCTTCAACTTTCTAGCGTGCTTTCATTTATCTTACATGACCTGCCTTTCTGTTCCCACATTTCTCAAAAGAAGCACCTGGAAATTGGTGATTCTTCTGCTGACAGGGAAATTGAATGACCATGTCATGCTTTGAAATTAGTTGTTGGGCTTGCTATAATTTGTTGGGACTGCGCAATTTCACTTTGAGTTTGGCTTTCTATGGTTTGTGGGGAATGTACGGTTTCACTCTCATTTACTCCATTGAGTTGAAATATCAATTTTTTTTTTACAAAAAAACGAAATTACCGCATGACTTCATGTCATTTAGTGATGATTCTTTAAAATCCTGTCATTTAAACAGTAAGCTCATTACGAAATGCTATTGGCAACATACAAAAAGTGCCACTTGTAAAGTTCAAAAAAAAAAAAAAAAAAGCAGAGGGACAAAAGGAAATTATTTCTGGTAAAATTTGCTGAATATCCTTTTTTATTGTTATAATCTGTAAAATATCTGGTTAACCTGAAGCTAGGGGTTGAGTGGCAGTTTGGGCATGTGAAGAGCTTGCATGGTACCATTGGTGGTGATGGTAGCAAATTGGTTACCTATTGGTAAAACCTCCTTTGGAGAGATTTTTGCATCTTTTCAATATGCATCTCAATGTTAGGCTTCTGCAATAGTGTGGGTAGAGGTTGGTTTGGGAACTCGCTGTTACAGTGCCTGTTACCGATGATATCCTTAAGGTTTGATCAAGTTGTGGGTTTCTATTGAGGGGGTCTATTCTTCCGAGTGTACATGTAATTATCCTTCAATTTGATGTGCTTTGTTCTTTTTGCATGAACACTTAGTGGGTGGTCCAAGGGTCAATATCCTTTGCCTTTTATTGTTTATGATCCCACTGCTCACTCAGGGTTTTCAACCCATTGGTGAATAGGTTTCCAGCCTTAGTGTTTATGGTTATGCTACATATGTGGGATCATTTCATAGTAAAAGAAAAATAAACGAAATTGAACATCTTTCTAATTAATTTGAGTTTTTGATCTGTGACCTACTTCCCACCTCCAGCTGTTAGGAAGGGACTAGCAAGAAGAACAAAACAAAGAATTTTATGTTTTTAACATGTGTGACTCCTCATGTTTACAGGTCCTTGATGAAGTCCTTGAAGGGAACAAAACACCTTCAGAACTGACTAGAATTTTGATACGTGTCAATGATCTTCCATTGTCTACATATCCTCTCAACGATGTTCTAATTGCTCACCCCTGTCCAGCAGCAGTGTCAAGCTTCTCATTTCAGTAAGTTTTTCGTTCTTCTATTTAGGCAATTGTTCTTCTCCCTACTTTTCCCTTTGTTTTTAAGTTTGAAAAATTAGATTTTTGTACATACTCATAAGACCTTAAGACCCATGGTGGATTAAGTAGAACTTGAGATTTGAATTGTTCACCAACCATAAAGATGGTAGGCTGAAACTGCCAAACCCAAAAGGAACATTGATATTAATGAAGTGTTTTGCCTATTGGCTAGGTGTTTAGGGCATAAAGGTAGAAATGAAGTGCATATTCACAAGAATCACCAAGTTTATGAAAAAAATAATGAGATATCCTGTGTCACATACTAGTCGATATAAAATCACACACTCTTTAAAACAATAGAGACTGCTGAAATCTCAGAGAAATTGCAACTCTTATATGTTCATTTTCTTACATTATCATTCAGCTGTAGTAGATGTTTTTAGCATCTCACAAAGTCTTTTGATGAGGTTTTTAATGGAGTTTTTGCTTCTCTTCTATTCTTCTAATTAAAGTTATACAACTCCCAAAACTTCTAATCAACTCTGCCTTGGCCGGCCCTCTACCGCTCATGCCAGTCCCAAGCCCGGGTAGGGTAAAGGATGAGGGTTGTGTTTGGTAGGTAGCCAGTGTAAAATTTTGCCAAAATTTTGGCGGAATAGGAATCGTGACAACAAATAGATGCGATAAGGCTCTGATGATGATGATGATGAATTGTTGAAAAATTATGTGACGATGCAAGTAGAGTGGCAAAAGCTGAAGATTAGTTTCTGGCGTTTTCTGGACATTTTTAAAAAGTAAAATTTCTGTATATATGCAGGTTGAAGAAAGATCTTGAAAACTCATCTGCTTTAGTACACTGTCGATCTAGCGGTCTTAGGATTTGCACTGCCGCTGGATCAACAGCTGCGATGCTCTCAGCTGGAGGATACCCAATGCCAATATTATCTAGAGATCTTCATTATATGGTGAGAGAACCCATTCATCCGGGTATGTTCTCCCACTTGATGCATGGGTCAATTTCACCCGATCAATCCATACACATTGTATGGAAATCTGTAGAAGGAATGATATATATTGATGGCTGTCATGTCTTCCATCCTATCCAATATGGAAGCAATGTCGAGATATCAGCCAAGGCCCCAGTTTTGAAAGTTTTCTTGCCTTCTCACTTGGTCTCCTAGGGTTTTTGTTATCGCTTTTCTGTTTTTGCTTGTTAAGTGGTCTAAATTGATGCTATGCATCCTATGGTATGTGAAGTCTTTTCTTTTGTTGAAGTGCTTGTATATATTGATTTACTTATTATCTTCATTCATGTAGCATGCGGATTCTTTTCCTTCATGGCGTTTTGTTTTAGTTATCCCGGTCTTAAAAGGAACAAAAAGCTCTGGTGTATCAATGAAAACTTATCTACTACAGAATAGAAGTGTAGCAATTTTCTTAGGAATGTGTACTTTTTGAACTGATTGTTCTTTTAAAAAATTACTGGTGCCCGACACTAATGTCTTTGCTCTTTATTTCTATTTCAAAGGTAAGGGTGTGTGTGAATTCCACTTCAAACGATTGTCTGAGAGCTTTTTGGGAATTAATCCAATTCTACAAAGCCAAAATATTTCCTACCATATACTCCCTCCAGCAAAACGCGTGCTAAGATACATTTTAGATCTCAATTTTGGAGATGTAGTCTATACAGCCTATAGACGAATCTCAGTTAATAAATTCTAAAAGAGATTATGTACTAAAAATAATAATGATTCGATATTGAATAGAGGCTGTCCAATTTTTAAGGGTTAGATCTAAGTATCAAAAAACTCAAAATTCAAAATTTCTTCTTTTGAAAATAATCAGCTAGTTGCTCTCATGTGGTTTTCAAATAATTTTTAAAAGAAACAAGAAAATGACAGAAACAATGGCCGGAAAAAGGGCAGCATTTAATATCGATCTTAAAGATATTTGGTTTTGATTCAAGAAAAAAAGATGTCAAGGCTCTTGTTAACGAATGTGTTGGGAATATTTAGGAGGAGTATGAATAAATTTGGTTAAAAAGTGAGAAATAGAAGATTTTTTATTTTGCGTTAAAAAATCCCTGAAATTTGAATCATCGAATTTTTTTTTTTTTTTTTTGCTTTTTTTCCAGCAAATTATCATGGGTTTTGTTAGAGGGCTCTAATACCAACATTATCAAATTTTAGATGGTTTGGTTGATAAAGGAGAAAGAGATTACAACAACGTCAAATTAAGTTTTAGGGTTAAAAATGGTGAGATTTTTATTGTGAGAGTCAATGAAAAAACTCGTCCATATGCAAAATGAGGGGTTTGATCTGGATCATCAGACGAAATAAAAAAAGCAGAAAACTTTAAAATTTACCTTTTTGATATAAAAAAGGGTATCGGTCGATTTGCCTGAGCCTAGGCAAGAAGCAGCCCGATGTCCCACTAGACCCGAGTCGACTTCAGTACTTTTAAAACAGGAGATGGGACATAGCAAATCCCATTCTAGTAAAGTATACCACCAGACCTATTGCATATAAATCATAGTTATTAGGATTGGACTAGCCATTGAACTAGCGAGGGGTTGGTATGAACTCTGGTTCAACAACCTGTCAAACTGCTTGGATCAGATTAAAAGAAAAAGAAAAAAAAGTAAGAATAATAAATTAAAAATAAAAAATATATTAGAGAAAATTTCTCACCTTTGCTTAGTGGGTTTGAATTGGTCAAAATCGGATGGTTTGACTAGCCAAAACCTGTCAAACACTGATTTTGATAAATTTTCAATTAAATTAGTTGTTTGTGTTATACCGAACTAATATAGGTAATTTGAGACAACAGTAAAATCAACAAGAGTTTCAAGCCAAACACAAGTAATAATTTGGAGAAACTTAACGTTTCCTCCTCCCCCAAGCTAGGATTCCAAAGACCTAAGCTTTTCTTCTCTTTCAATTCTAAAAATTACGTGGAATGGCATCGAGGTAGGGATGGTAACGGGTGGGTACAGGTCTTTGTTGGACCAGGACCCTAACCCGAATAGTATTCAGGTCCAAAATTTGGACCCATACCCGGACCCATCGGGTTCTGGGTTTGGTCGGATCCATTGCCACCCTATGACTATGAGCTTACTATTATTATTTTTGCCTTTTTTTTTACCATCATATACCTTATGACTATGAGCTTCGTTTTTTCCGGCAATAATCTTGTAAATGTTGCCAATATTGTGATAATATGAACGCCTAGCGTGTGCCTAAAGACACATGATTGTCATCATATAACTTATGACTACGGTTACGGGTTAGGTCCGGCTGGACCCAGACCTAAACTTGAATAGCATTGGGGTCCAAATTTGGACCCATACCAGGAACCGAGGTCGGGTATACCTATCTGGTCCTGGGTCTAGTCAGGTCCATTGCCACCCCTGCCTCGAGAACTCCCGCGCGCCTCTTAAATAGTCTATATTGATATTCAAATGAGATTAATTGTCCCTACAAACAATAATAATTTGACCTTGTGTCCTTACTTAAACACAAAAATTTGTCACTACAATTTATGATAAAAATAAATATTACAATTTTATGATAAAAATAAATACTATGTAAACACTCTAAGTACTTTTCTAAACACTTAAAAATTCTAAAACTATATTAAAAAAAAACTATAATTCATAAGAAAACCAAAAGATCTAAAAATAAAAGCCTAAAATTAAAATTAAAACATACATACTTTTAAAATTAAATAAAAGTAAAAAATAAGAAATTTTTTGTCATGTGTCAATCCTCTTTGATTGGAGAAAACTTCTCATTGAATTTTGAGGTGTACGGAAATGAATTCAACATCAAAACCAGACTCTTATTTGTTGGCCAAAGTATTATTCGTGGTAAGAAGAAATCTCCAAGAAATACGTATAAAAAGGAATGAATACAAACATCAAATTCAGTTTATCCCTTAACTCCTAATATTGGATACTTCAAAGTACAATATTTGGCATGTAAAGGCTTTCTCAATATCTATTCATTAATCTCTTAAACAACATAATTCGTGATTTATGAATCGACCATGCTTCTAGAAGGCTATTGTGATTCTAATGTTCTAAATCTCTTGAATGCTTCGCCCTTTCAATATACTTGAGATCTTCAAGGTTTATGATTGTGATAAGTCTACCTTATCTATGTATTCTTCTCGAGTAAGGTCCTTTTTTGAAACATTTTCATCTTCACGTTTATCCTTATCATAGATCAGATTTCTTAAGAGATCTTGTTGTTCATTTGAGCATGTATCGAGGAATGGTGGTAAATCTAATCTACAACCTATTGATTTTGGATATAACCTGCATCAAAATCAAGAATATCAATGTTGACAGTTATACAAACCAAATATTTAGTTTCCTATCTTGTATATACTATTATAGAAATCAGATATTTAGTTTCTTATCTTGTATATTATAATATATTACAACATATTAAGTTGCTTATTTTGTGGGATTATTATTGTAGTGAGGTTTGTTTCTTAAAAGACAATTATAACTCTATAAATCTCTGGTAAATTAGAGTAATTCTTTATGAATGAGATACTGATTTGCTTTATGTGGACATAGGCACAATTGCCGAACCACGTATCTTATTTGTTGATCTTTTTCTCTCTCTCATGCGTCAATGTTTCTCTTGTTGTAAATTCTACATGGTATCGGAGCAGGCTCATTTATCACAAACGACCCGAAGCTGGCCGATGATTGTGGGTTCCAATTTGGTTTGTTCTTTCATTACATATTCCTCCGTGTGGTAAGGTCCTTGTCGCTTGCTACTTCTCAAGATTCACAGATCGGTGATTGGAGTAGTACAGTTGTCCTTGCACGAGATTTTCTAAACGAGGCACAGCCTTTCATTGAGAACGGGGTGCATCATCGGAATCTAATAGGTGGTATTTACATGTCGATCTCTCTCTCTCTACAATTCCCTGTTTGTGGCCATTATTATATGGGTTTGAGATGCTAAAGTTTTTTTTTTTTTTAAGCTTTTGGTTTGCAAACGGTGGGATGCAAACTTCCTTTTAAGCTTTTGCTTTGCATACAGGTCAATGCAAGGGTTTGCAAATGGATTTTCTAATGAATGTGGCAGAGTGGGTGGCGTTTTGAGAATTTTAACCTTTGAGTGGTTATTGGTCCAATACTTACAAGATTTGATTTTTGAAGGAAAGGACATTGTTATTGTGATTGTGAGTATTCAAATGGCTGACAGTTGTATGCACATCAGTGATTTCTAGAGAGAGAAATAACAATTCTCATTGACGTCTTCGGTTATTTCCGATTGTGGTGCTATCTACTCTTTAATTACTATCTACTCCTCAAGTCAGTTTTGTTTTTTGTGTATTCATAAAAGAATTGTAACATGAAACTTACTATTGTTTTTTTTAATGGACTTTTAGTCGAAAGTTGTTTTTCATTATCTACTTGGAAAATCAAAATTTCGACACATAACTAGAAAGAAAATCATGAATCTCGATTTCCCTGAAGAAAGTGTTGATAAATCTTCTTTGGTTGTTAATAATGAGAAATATGAAACGAAAGGCCTCAAAATAATGGTGGAGGTAGATGCTCTAACAATTATTGCGATGGTGAAAATTGTTGTAATAATAGAGGGTGTTCTAGATGTGATCACTGGAACAATATATGATGTGTGAAGGATGTGTTAAGTACTATACCCACACTTAAGGCTCATTAATAACAGAACAGTCGACAGATCGTCCGCTCAGACCACGGCCACTCAAATCAATCACTGCAATTGTGATCATTATCAACAACTAAGTAACAATAGTGATCCTTCTTCTTTATCCTTGGATACAGATAACCCTTATATGACAGGTAACTTACAATATCTATCAAACCTAAATAATAATACAAATATGAACCGTGTGTCTATGGTTAATGGTTCTTTGATTCCTGTCATGGTGTTGGTAAAATCAATTTTTTCTTCAAATCTCATAATTCTGAAGTTCTGTTTATGCCATCATTTTCATCTAACTTGATGTCGGTTAGTAGAATTACTCAAAGCATGAATTGCAATGTTATTTTTTTTCCAAACTCTGTAACTTTCTAAGACCGGACCACGGGGAGGAAAATTGGTGAAGAAAAATTGTGCCATAGGCTATATTTATTGAATCACGAGAATATGGATTTGGTTGTCAATCAAGGTAATTTCGATATTAATAAACTGTGACATTGGATATTTGGACACCCTTCAGATAAAGTTTTGAAATTTTTATTGCCATCTCTATCTTTAAACTGGCATTCTTGTGAAATATGCAAGTTCTCAAAACAAACAAGACTTTCTTTTCAGTCTTCTATGCATATT